TTCTCTGCCTCAGGGTCAGCGTCCATTTGCAGCTTCCAATCTGCTGCAGATGCCATGATGGAGGATGAGGGTGTCAATAAGTCTCTCAAGAGGGGTCCGTACTTCCTCACTTGCCTGGGACGAACACTCCTCTTCCCTCTCCTCACTCCCTCAAGAGCAACACTCAGAAGCTTCTCTCTTCTCTCTCTCTCTCTCTCGTTTGCGATCGTGTAGACGCAGACATTAAAGAACCCAATGGAAGAAACAGTTTGAAATCAGTCAGAAGAGATGGTAGAACTCCTAGCCGGAGCGACAATTCATTTGGACTGGAGAGCAGTCAAAACAGCAAAAAAAAGAAAAGATCAGAGAGATCTGATCCAGCCACACAGTCTGGACTGACTACGTATGGGGTCCTCCCAAGCCTAGCCAGCCTCAGCTCCACGAAAACACAGCAAATCAGATTCGAGATGTTCAGCGAAATGCAAGAGAGAATTGAGTGGTGTATAAGGTGCGAGTCAGGCGGCGGATTGTGCGGTAAAGTCTGATAAAACGTCCCAGCGGAGATCCCCTCCACAGCGAGTGTCCTGGTCCAAAAGCATAAAGTCCGTATCCCAATCAGATAGAGCAAGGTAACTGACGTCAACAGATTTGGCCTGAGGGGCCCTTCTTGTTTGGGCCCGATCCCACTGAGTCCCAAATGGTCCCAGTGGAGTCAGAACCGGGTCCCAACCAACAAGAGTTCCACGGAGACCTGCTTTGTCCCTACTTGAATTGAAAAACGAATTTTTGCCCCAGAAAGAACCTGTAGACTACTGCCGTTCAGAATGAAATAAACAAAGCACTGTAGAGAGATATCACATGGCAAACAAGATTCTCCATTCATTCACTCATCAGGTGAGTAGGCAGTTCACACACCTCACACACAATCAAGACTATGGAGGATGGAAGAAGAACCCAGAGAACCCCGACAGGCAGTCAATTCCATGCACACACACATGGGCACCCTGGTGGCACGGCACTTACCTGAGTGGCCGGTCTCTTGAGATGAAAAGCTCACCCCCCCTCTCACATAGTCCTCCTGACCCAATTAGCATCCTCTACACTAGTGTCCTATCATCTAGGAGGGTCAACATCTACCCCAAAGTACACAGCCGGATCCCTCGTCAATGTTGAAGATCAAAGCAGCAACTTGCAGTCCGTGGGTGCAGATATGGCTGCCACCCTCAAGCTCGCCTACTTGAGGGGAGCCCTAAAGTCACTCCTCGTCTTCCTTGAGGTCCAGATTCAAGTTGTAGGTGCCCATCACTGTCGCCTCTCTCAAATTGCATCATGAAGTCCCACCTTGTGTCTCGCCACCACAAACATGCACTCAAGCAACCTGGCCGGGTCTAGTGTCGACCCTACACGGCCCTGCCAGGTGGGAGCAGCTTCCCTTTACCACGCTGCCCCACTTAACCCTAACTTCCAGCCCTAACCCTAAGTGGTTAGCCCTTACCACTAGGGTTAGGGTTATGGAAGCCAAGTCAACTCTCGCCAACAAGTAGAATCCGCTCCGATACCAATGTTACGATCCTGGCCAATTTTGAAGTCCACAATCATCAGAAAGTACAATGTTGTCCAATTGCGAAAAGAAATGAATGAACTTGAGCCCAATGCCGTCCAATTGCAAAAGAAATGAAAGAACTTGAGAGGAGAGAGAGGGAAAGAAGAAGAAGAAGTAAGAAAGAAGAAAGAGATGATGTACTCCAACATAGACCAAAGACAAAGCTCTTCTTCTTCGCTCAACAACCTCCTCCTCTTTATCTCCTCTCTTATTCAAACAATAAATAAACAATAATAATGTTGAACAGCTGAACCARAATCRATGTCCGARTCCCACTTCTACTGCAGGCACAAGATGAGGTCCACCATAGCCATGGCAGCCMTTCTTCTTCCTCCACATRCAGGCCGAGGCTATGGCGGACTACTGAGGTTTCAACCTCCGGTACAAAGGACAACCCCAAGCACCTACACCGCTGCCCTTCTTCAAGGTCATCACCCAGCAGCTATGCCGCTGCCCACTCAACCGCCATGCCTGACTCTGTCCGAGCTTCCTTGATGCGGCACTACCCCCACYGATGCAGCGCCTAGCAAGGAGATGAAGATGGTGTCTACCATAGCCAGGTAAGTACCCTACCACTCTCCTCCTTGGTCCCCTTCTCCCTCCTCCTCCTACCGGCTGAGCTCCACCATAGCCGAGGTGGAAGCTCCCGGCTTCTTCCTTCCAGCAGCGCTGTAGAGCCCAGCGCTCCTCCACCTAGCGCTCCAGCAGCGTGAMGCCCAACTCGCACACTGAAGAATGAGGCCRGGCTCTCCGCCCTGCCTCTTGATATAGCGGCCTACTTGCCTCCTGGGCGGTGACTTTCCAGGCCGCTCGGCCTCTCCAAGCAACCGGTACCTCCTCCGTTTCGGAGGGAAACATCATTGCAGACCCTGATATCACCGTTACAGGCTCTAGACTCAGACTGGTTGGACTGGTACCGGCCTAGACCTACCCTACCGCTACTGGACTCTAAAAATGCCAACTTTGTCTTTTTCTGCTCGGCCTCCAGTACCCCCTCACACCAACTGCAGTGGGGTGCAGTATCGGCCTACCGGCCTACTTGAGTGTTTTTCCGCTAACCCAAGGGCCTCGGGGCCGCTAGCTTCGCCACTTGAGTGGTTTTCCCTGCTACAACCCTCAATGCCACGGCCACAGGTAAGTACCGGCCCTACGGGCCTACCAAACAAGCAAGTACCCTTACGGGTCCCACACACACTCATACCAACAAGCACTCAGACAGGCATGCAGGCCACAAGCACGCACACACAGACAGACTTAGAAACACAGCAGAATGCGGGAATCTCAGCAAGGGATCCATTCCATCGGCAGAACTTCAGAAATCAGCAGTGTTCTCAGTCTGTGTTTTGACGGGTCATTACAAAAGGGTGGTGTTGCTGATTTTTCCGTTCTGCGTTTGTCTTGTCAGGTGGGCTCTGCTAGTGTGACAGATGAGTGGCAGCCTGTTGCCATGGACTTTTTTGTGACTCGTCCTTTCTCGCTCCTCACTGCGTCATCTGTATTCCACACTCTTTTATTGGCTATGTGGCCATCTGTATGCTGATTTCTCCTTTCTTTATTTGTTCTGTGAGATGTGCTCTTCTAGTTGACAGATATGTGGCAACCTGTCGCCACAGTTTGGACTTTCTACTGATGTCTCCAGTGATGTGTCCTTTATTGTTCCTGACTCTGTCGCCTGTATTTGGCACTCCCAACTCTTTCTTTGTCTCGCCTCACTCTCGTTGCTTTCTCTGTCCCTCCTTACTCTGTCAGCCCTATTTACTGTGTGCTAGTGTGCTGTCACGGTAGACGGGTATTGGCCGCGTTCTTTTGCCAACCTGTCCTTACAGGCAAGGGCCGAGAGACCAATTGTTTTTGACCTCTTATGTAAAGGACCACTCTTCACATTGCCCACCTGAGATTGTGTTCACAGGCAAGGGTCCACAAGACGGTCCAGCTGCAGTGCTGAGGTGACCTTGGGGGGCCGCTAATGGAACACTCTGGCCTCTATCCTGTGCGATCAGATTGCAGATCTCAATGGGGAGCGCCTGCGTGAGGTTTGGTGAATTAGGTTTGGGCAAAAGACGAGTTGAAAAAATTAAAAAAAAATACTTTGGGGACAGCTGTCCACCCTCCAGTGGATTCAGTTTTCAGCAGGCTGCTAGACTGTGGAAGTGATCCTTGCTTGAGCGCCCGGAGACTGTGGCAGTGCTGGGTCTGAGACAGCTGCACCAAGGCTAATGAAGCTGTTCTTTTTCTGGACAGTCATCATCACTTGTGCTTAGGGTTGCTGCTAATGCTGACTTGGACTGTGATGGCACTAGCATTTGAGGCTGCATGCAGGCCTGCATGAGCAGCACTTTGTGGAAAGGTTGCTGTGAAGCTGAGACATGATGGAAGGTGTGCATGAGCCGGAGTTAGCAGCACTTGATGAGCGTGATGCTTTGTTGAAAACTAAGGTTTGTGTGTGGCGGTGGACGAGAGTAAGAAAATCTCCATAACTCTTTGGGTGTCTTCGCTGGCTGTGGCTCTTGGGGGGAGTTCCACTATCTATTTCTTTGCCCAGAAGGGTTAAGTGAGTGGATGTGAGAATCTGTCACCTCTGTCCTTCTTCTGTAAGGATCTTGCAGGTTTAGCCTTATATCTGGAAATCTGTGTTGCATGGCGTAAGTGAACACGGGGCCCGCATACGGGGGTGTACTCCGCACGTGCGCACATACTTGAAAAACGGGGCCGCGGACATGTTTCTCATAACTTGTTTTGAGGTGGGGGGGCTCGGTGGTTGGGAGGGAGCACACGACGTGGCGGGGGGCAGTGTGGAAGGCTCAAATTGCAACGGACCTTACCGGCCCTTCCGGCGAGGAATGCAGCAGCCTTAGAGATTCGAATGGGCGTTACTGATGCTTAAAGTATTCTGTATTTTAGTCAGTTTCTAGGCAGGAACGGAGCTGGGCATGATGTAGCATGCACCCCCAACCCCACACAGCACATAATATTAGGGGGAACAACTAAAAACATATTCCCGTATGCGATATGGGGAAAAGTACGCCAACAGGAGTATGTATGCGCACTCCAGCAGCATGCGTACACCAATGTGATTCAGATTGCATGCTTCTCAAGTTCGGGGTGAATCCACAATAGTTCTCCTCTTCGGCGCATGCACAGATTTCAGCACATGTACTTCGGTGTTGTTGCTTGTTGCTCATTTTTCAAAGAGGGATAGTCGCTACCATTTCTATGTCCATCTGGATATGAAACCAAAATCTGTTTCAGCAAGGTTAAGTGTGTGTACAATCCAGCCACAACGCTGGTAGTTTTGTGATGATTATGTGTGTGTACAATTCAGCCACAAGGCTGGTACTTCTGTGATGCTTGTCCTAATCTTGCCATTGATTTTGCTGACTGTTACTCTTGTGCGTACATGGTAAATGTGGTTTGGCAGATGAATGTCACCTTTGTGGTGGAAAGCCTGGTTTATGATATACCTGGTGACGCCGATGATGACGATGAAGTGACAACTTGTGACTTGCGAAAGCATGGAAAATGTTCTGTTTATATGCCCTTATTTTCACGTCGTTACGCTGTTGTGGCAACTCCAGATAGCTTCATGGTAAGACTATTTTATGAAGAGTGATACAAATAAGACCACTATGTTCATTTTCCACTGTTTCCAGTTATTATTATTGTTATTATTGATTTGTCATTATTAGAAGCTCCCGCCTGTCGTAGCATCGTCTGCAGCAGTAAAGGGGACAGGTTGTGGGATGGAAAGGATGTGGAGAAGTAGGGGTGCGAGGAAGGCAGGGCGTGCAAGGTTGACTGATTTGTGTTTGTACCGGGGACTGGATTGATAGGGTTCGACCTTTTATGGTTTCATGTATAGTATTTTGACTTCCTGTGGTTATAACATGCCGTTGTATGCAGAATGCAGGGTTGTCAATAATGACATGATGGTGTTGTGAGGATGGGACAAAATCTGTGGTACCAAGCGGCATGAGTGGGCTTTCAAGAAATTGAAGACCGCTCTGATGCACCATCCAGTCCTTAAGATTGCAGATCCTGATAAACCTTTCATTGTAACCACTGATGCTACCGTCTTCACCCGAACACCTGGTCATTATAGCTGTACCTGACAGAAACTGCACCAAATACGGCTATAACGACCAGCTTTCTATTCGGGTGAAGACGCTGCAAGAGGTGAAAAGGCTTAGGCCTGTTGAGTACATGTCTAAAAAGATGCCATCTAAGAAACTAGCTAACTCTACGTTTGAGCGGGAACTGTATGCCAAGCGGGAACTGTATGCCGTATGCATGGCACTGAAACATTGGAAGCATTATCTCCATGGCAGGCATTTTGAAATTTGCTCTGACCAAGAGATGCTCCAATGGATCAAGACTCAGCCCACGCTCTCTGACACTCTGAAAAGGTGGATACAAGTCATAGATATGTACGACTTCACCTTGAAGCTCGTCAAAGGGGCAGTCAATGAAGTGGCTGAAGCATTGTCCAGGAGGGCAGACTATCTCGGGGTGCTAGTGACTGAGTTTGGCTTGCACGAGAATGTACGTCAACAGTTGGTGGATTCCCACAAAGGAGAGCATCTTGAGTGAGATCATCAGAAGAGTCCATACTCAGGATAAAACTGTATCTGACTTCATGATGGTTGACGGGGTGATTTCTTATGTAAGCCGGGAAAAATAGACTATATGTCCCAAACAGCGAGTCTTTGCGTAGTTATTTTTAGGAGAGTGTCATGACACGACAGGTCACTTTGGGTTTAGGAAGACGTCCGCTAACCTGTTGCAGCGGTTCTGGTGGCATCTATGTTGAAGGATTCCAAGAAGTACATGGAAACATGCCAGGTCTGTCAACACAACACATTTAGGACTCAGGCGCCTCTTGGCTTACTAAAGCCACTGCCTATTCTTGTCCAGTGGAGTCGCTGTCCATGGGCTTCATGGGCACACTCGTGATCAGCACGAGTGGGAACAGGCAGATCTTTGTGATTGTGGATATATTTTCTAAGTGTGCCAGACCAGTGCTGCTTCCTGAAACAGCTAAGACAAACTAAGTTGTCAGCAAGCTCTCAGATCACTTGGTAAAGGACTTCCGACTGCCTAGATCGATTGTGAGGGACAGAGATGTGCGATTTGTGGCAGAAGACCACACAGCAGATGGGATCTGAGCTTCAGATGACATCTGGGAACCATCCGGAGACTAAGGGACAGGCTGAACAGATGAACCAGGTAGTACAGCAACTGGCTTACTAGGCTTAGGCACTATATTAAGCCTGGCCAGGATGACTGGGATGAAAAGGTACCTCTCATAGCCAGTCTGTACAACAGCGCAATGTGTAGTAATACCGGCCGGTCTCCCAGTTAGCTGCACTTAAGATGGAAACCAAGAACGCCGTTGGATTTTCTACTGCCTGATTCTCAACCGACACAGCACCAGGAAGCATAGAGTATTGATCCAATACGAGTCCATGCTGCTGCAGACGGTACAGTAGATTGAGAAGTCTCAGAATGCCATAATAGCTTCTGATGTTACGATCCTGGTCATTTCCCAAGTGCAAATTCACAATGAAAGACAATGCCACCCAATTGCGAGAGAAATGAAAGCACTTGCAAAGAGATAAAGACCAGAGGAGAGAGAAAGAAGAAGAAGAAGAAGAAGAAGAAGAAGATGTACACCAGCAAGACCAATGACAATTCCCCCTTCTCTCTCCACCTTCCTCCTCCTCCTCCACTTCACCAATCTTATTCTTCTCTCAATAATAATAATAACAACGAATGGATGAACCAGAATCAATATCCGAAGTTCCCTCTTACTGCTGACTCAACTCAACAACAACAACAACAACCAACAACAACAACCAGTCCACCATAGCTATGGCTTCCCCCCTTCAGCCTCCTCTCTCATGCATAGGCTATGGCGGACTAATGAGGGCCTTGCCCTGACGTCCAAAGGACAACCCAAAGCAGATATGCCGCTGCTGACTGGTCCGCCATGCCTGACTCTGCCTCGAGCTTCCTTGGTGCTGCAGTACCCCAACTGGGGCCTTCTAGATGCAGCGCCCAACAAGGTGATGAAGATGGTGTCTACCATAGCCAGGTAAGTGCCCCGCCACTCTCCTACCATGGCCCCTTCTTCCTCCTCCTCAAGCTGGACTGCTCGCCATAGCCAGGCTGAGCTCCAGCGGCCCTTCACCTCCAAGCAGCGCTGCACCAGTCCAGCGCTGCGCTCCAGCAGCATGTCGCCAATCCTTGCACACCGCAAATGAGGAAGAGCTCTTTGCTCTTCCTGGAGATGTAGCGGCCTACCGGCCTCCTGGGCGGTGACTTCCTAGGCCGAGCCGCCTCCCAGCAACCGGTACCTCCTCCCTTTCKGAGGGAAACATCATTGCAGGCTCTGCTATCCTCCGTACAGTCCCTAGACCCGGGCTACTTGGACTGGTACCGGCCTACCGCTATCCTCCCGCTACTGGGCCTCTAAAAATGCCAACTTTTTGTCTTCTTCTGCTCGGCCTCCAGTACCCGACACTTCTACCACTACTTCAGTGGTACCGGCCTACCTGCTACTTGAGTGTTTTTCCCCTCTGCTCTAAGTGCCACGGGCCTACCCCCGCTACTCGAGTGTTTTCCCCCTGCAACCCTTCACAGTCACGGCCACAGGTAAGTACCGGCCCTGCGGGGCCTTGCAACCAACAAGTACCCTTTTGGGTCACACACACACTCAACCGACAAGCACTCAGACAGGCATGCAAACCAGCAGGCACGCACACCCACACAGACATGGAAATCACAGCAGAATGCGGGAATTTCAACAAGGCATTCATTCCAGCGGCAAATCCCAGAAATCAGCAGTGTTCTCAGTCTGTGTTTTTGGCGGGTCATTACACTGAGAACAAAACACAGATGGCCATCTAAGTTCCGGAAGCTTCTGTGACAAACACAGATGGCCATCTAAGTTCGAGATTGGGGAGAGAGTCTGGGTTAAGTTTTCTGAGTTCACATGTAAATACAATGTCTCACAGAAGCTGATTCCGCATTATTTCGGGCTATGGCAAATCTTTGACAAAGTGGAATCTGATCCCGATGGCCCTTCATAAGTCATTCCTGTTCCCCCTCACATTTTTCATGCCTCAAAGCTCCTACCTTACTCAGAAACTGACAAGTTTCCCTCACGAATCAATACTGGCCCCAACTACGGACGGATACATGGACATCGACCAGTTTGTCGAGCACCGGGTGATGCCAGTTCCCAAGCCAACAGGCAGAGGAGGATCCCCCAAACCGCAGATTCAGTTCAGGGTGGCATTCAGATATCGCCCGGATTCTGCAGAGAATCGGTGGTCCACATGAGAGGAACTGATGAAGACAGCTCCTCAAGTTGTCACACAATATCAGAGAATGTGGAAGGGGAAGCAGCCAGTTCATTGGAGATTTCTCAGAGGAATTTGTAATTGAGGGGGAGGGAGTGTGAGCATTGACGACCTCGGCAATGCCGAAAAAGGGGCCGTCCCACCCTAAGTGACGGTGGGCCTCCAAAAAATACAGCAGGGCCTCCAGAGATGCCAGTATGAACAAACTGGGGCCTGGGTCGTTGAAGAGCATGGAGCATCTAGGCAGCATCTCCCACCAACTGTTAGGCCTAGTTGGTTGAAGATGGTGCGGACGCTGGGCCTGGGTGCAGCTTCTAAAAAGGGCGCAGGATGCAGGCAACTCGGACTGGGTTCAGGCAGGCCAGAGGCTGCTCGGCCTCTCCAGCCAGCACAAAGGCTGGTGGGCACATCTTTCGACACATTCAGGCATTGCCCCAATGCAGCAGCACTGCTGGAGCAGTGGCTGAGCGCTGCGCCCAAGGGGGCAGTTGCGTGGTGGCAGCGAGGAAGAAGGGTGTGAGGCAGCCATAGCCAAGCTGCACTCACCATAGCCGAGTGGTGGAGTAGTGGAGGTCCTTTGGAAGGAGAAGGGCTGTGGGAAGGAGAAAAGAGATGAGGGCAGTATGACGAGGCACGTAGTGACCTCGAAGACAGGCTGTTCAATCAGAGTCTTCAAGCTGCCTGGGCTACTACACTTGGAATCTGCTGTAGCATATGTAGGCTAGGTGGATGGGATCATCTGGTAGTAGTCTGGGCGGATAGCTGCTGATAGGCAGCTACATTGTTGTTGTAGGTGATTGGAATCGTTCTGGAGGGCTTTCATTTCCAAGAGACTTCAATGCTGTGCTCGTTCTATTTGATGTGATCCGCTTTGTATTTTGCTTTCAGTTTCGGCTCGATGATACCTGGTCTTCTGTGAGATGTTGCAAATTGGTTTTCTACTGTCCTCATTGCTTATTTCCTTGCAATAGTGCGAAGAAAGCTAAATTGAGCAAACTGAAGATCCCTTTACTTATAGAAAAGTCGCTAACGTGAGAATTGGGCGATCCGGGCCGCCCGCGGTCCAACTGGCCCGACGGTCCGGATTTCCGCACGATCTTAAGACTTTAAGACTTCAAGATCGCGCGAAGATGCAGGCCGTCCGCCCTGCCGGACGATCTGGATCATCGCACGATCTTTAAGTCTTAAGATTGCTAGACGATCCGAGCCAGCGGCCCGGTAGGAC